GTGGATCTAATCAGATAGCAGGAAAGATTCATCGGGATTAGCTCCATTGACGGAAATCACCAGGGTTGTCTTGCTGGCCTTGAAGCCCCCTTCTCTCTGGTTTTGCAGATCAAACGATTCTTTCTCCACACTTCTACCCAGATGTAGCAGAGCTATGACTGCTCCAAGTCTCCTCGTCTCCTGGAAACTTGACCGTTATGTGGTAAGTGGACACCAAGACCTCGAAGCAATTCAGTAGCGAGCGGCCAAAGATGGTGTTGTAGGTAGGAGGCGAGTCCACTATCAGAAAGTCCTCCGTCTCTGTGTAATGTTTTTCTCCTTCACCCGAGGTAACCACTAGTGGCATCACGTCTAATGCTTCCTTTCACCTGAAAAGCCAAAAACCAGGCCGACCGGTGCTACCAGCCGGTTGGCCCGAAGATTAAGTTTATGAAACACTAACTTGCACAGAATATTCATGGAGTTGCCAGTGTCAATAAGAATACTTTCGAGTTGGAAATTACTTATTATCCCCATTACAACTATAGCCTCGTAGGGGAGTAGGGGTTTCTCCGTTGAGGAAGGTCATCATGAAAGTTCGTTGGGGAAGGTCGTCATGAAAGTGATGGGAAGGAAGCTCCCCCTCCTCTGTATGGATGTGAGGTTGCATAGCTCGCCAGTCCTAGATCTCTTCTAGGAGCTCCGTTGAGGGGAATTCATTCTCCTGAGAATAGCTGGAACTATCTCGGCGACGTAGACAAAATTCATCCAGACGGGCCCAGGCGAGGCCTCTACTGTTGGAGTTTTTCAGCATCTTTTCCCCAGTGTCCCTATGCCACAAACTCCTTGAGCTTCCTTGTCATGATCAGTTCCTCGATGAGGCTTCAAAGGTGTCAGTATTTCTATGGGCCAAGGTCGTGATCCCAATCATACTTGCAAAACTTCCTTGTGTCCCGAAGGAAAGCTCTGACTCTTATCGATGAGCTCTCCTTGAAGTAGTCCTTGTCATGAATGACATCTACTATCTCTGTCATTGATACCCTCAAAGGAGTGATATGTGGACCTTCTAACTCGACATACAATTATTCGTAGTGTTGAGCTGGCCTCTCATAGTGCCAAGCCGACCGCAGACCGCAGTTCCTCGCTTGATCTTCTTTCTGGTTGCTTCAGTATGATCCTCTGTTGCTGCGAGACGATTGGTAATCTTTATAACGACGCATGAATGATCTTTTCGGGACCTGAGGCTCCACTGGTTATGACTTGGGAACGCTCTCCTCAGCGAGCATGTATTTGCTGGTCATTTCTAACAGCTCTTCCATGTCCCAAGATTCCTATAAGCTGACGTTCAAACGAAACCTTTCAAAACTCATGCCCTGCTCCAGACGGCGTAAATCATGTCAGCTCGAAGGTCCTTTACCTCCAACATTTCCCTCGGAAAATGAAGGATATAAAACCGCAAGCTCTCGTTCAACCCCTGCTTTATATGCGATGTGCCATAAAAAGTTTTCGAAAGTTTGAAAAGCTGTTGATGCTCCCGGTCGGGAGTGATTGGAACCACTTCAAAACGACCTCGAAGTGGTAAAGAACAGTCGGCATTTGAAGAAGTCCAAGACTTTCATTAGGCACATTGTCGATTTGAACGAGGTGATGTGATCATTCGGATATGGTTGCCATCGAAAGGCATCCAAAGCGAGAGCTTGAACTTCTCTGAGGGTTCGGCTCCAAAGATATGGAGGGAAAAAGGGTTCTATGGATGTCGTGGTGTTTCGATCCGCCCACGATGTCGTGGTGTTTCGGTCCGCCCAAGTCATTGCTTCTCCACTTGTGCGGGTCCCACAGTCCTGGTACTGCGAGTCATCTGCCCTCTTGTGGTCGTCGTTCAGTCCTACGTGCATCGACGCGGCCTCCTGTGGCAGATGCTGCTCCTGAAGGACTCTATTTCCTGCTAGGGCTGAGACGACCATCAGGGCCTCTGTGATTCGACCTGAAACCTGGTCTATGATCTGAGTCTTCATCTTCTGCATACTTCGATACATACATTCCTCTATGTCATTTCGTGGGGGTTCTACATTGGTCGCTTCTCTTTGGCCCTCATCTTCTCTCTGCGATCATTATGCTCCTCTTATTGTAAACAGTATGATCCACGATCACCGCACCTTTTAGGATGCTGAATCCAAATCTGTCAGGGAGACACGCCTAAGGAATAGAGCACGTCAAAAAGGAGAGAGAGAGCAAAGAGTTGAGTAGAGAACAATAAAATTGCGTAACTTTTATTCATGTAATAGAAGACTCCTATTATAGGAATGGGGGTATGTACAATAACATATTACATCCTTAGTATATGTAGACACGACAAGGCAGGGGCCCACAGATGTCCGCTAGACTAATTCGGGAACTCAATGATGCATCTGGTAGGAAGGGATCCAACGCTCATAAGGTCGGGCGGCCGTTAGGCCAAGCGACCGTTAGGTTGGGCGGCCGATAGGCCAAGCAACCCTTAGGTCGGGTGGCTATTTGCTGAGGACCGATATCAGCTGCTCTAGAACTGGATACTTTGCCCCACTCACGCAGCCTAACTAGAGTGGAGGGCGTTGAATTCGTCTGCGTGGATCTAATCAGATAGATTCTTCTGGAGATGATCTACTCTCCTCCGTCTGAGAAGTACAATCTTCCCAATACACAGGAGCCGACAGGCTAAGTGTGATGTCCCGGGTCATCCTTAGGGGGTCCCACGATGCCACATCCCCTTTTCTGCCGGTCGTGAGATATCTTTAAGATTTGCGCTAGCACATTTTTTATGTATACATGAAATAAAACATATACAGTGAAGAATACAAACAGGACGTGGGTATAGCTCGCATTAGGGTTTCAGGTTAGCAAGTCACTAATTGTTCTAATTGATAACAACCAAAATATTATTCCCCTTGGTCATCATCTAATTGTTCTATTTACAGTCGCCGCAAAAATTGTGATAGAAAACCATACTAAAGTTCAAGAAAGTAATCATTTTATAGCAATTTTGTTGAAACCTAGATTATCATATACTGGTTTGATTCAGGAAAATTTTAAATACACATACCACACAATTCCATTGTATTTACATATCTAAGACTTAAAGTTTGTTATTTACATTTAAAAAATTAGAAGAAGAGCATTAAACAATAATTTAAAAGACGTCATGAACTAATGCCTGAAAACCTGTACTAAACATTTAAAAAATTAGTAGAAGAACAAAAAACAATAATTTAAAAGACAAGTTAAGATCAACTTGCCATGGACGTGTGTTTCAGCACAGAGATGTTACAGATGGTGCTGCCTGGGCACCGAGAAAGCTGAAGTTTTACGTGTGGAATGCATTTCCAACTCTCCCCCATGGCAGGCTTCGATGTTCCTCCTCCGCCGCTAACCATATGATTTGTTACCTGAGTTGATACAAATTATTTGACAAAATAAGTATGGGAAGTTGATTACAGATTATATAAGTTAATAAATTCAGAACAACGTTAAGTTCAAAGAAAGTATTCATGTATTACTAATATCACATGTTCAGACTAATAGTAGCATGTTAAAGAATATACCCAATTAAAAAAATTTTATTAATCAATGCACTAATTTGGCTCTGGATGGTCAGTACAAGAAAATAAAATTTCCTTTTTCTAAAGAAAGCCTAAAATTTGTTGTTAAATTTTTAAACAAAACTATGTCTCGGATCAAAAGAAACTCTAGAAATCCTCACTTATAAAACGTCTTTAACATATTCTACGCCACATGATGATACAGGGATTTAAAAATAGTTGTTTCACAAGTCATGACACATTTCCCAAACAACCCTGAAGTGCTGAAATATGCTTTTAAAAGATCAAATAATATCTTCGATTAAATCATATTCAATTTAGAATATAGACAAAGAAAATGAAGAAATTTTGAAACGTTTTGAGGAAAATTCAATATCAAACATAACTGTGCCCAATAGATTATGATTTTAACATAAAAGCTAAAAACTAAAAAATAAAAAATTTGTAAATAACCTTGAAAATGAAATATTGAAATTTGATGAAATGTGAATGTGAAATCTCATGGCCAATGTCCTAATAGTTGGGTACATGATTAAAACTTTTCATAAAAACGGGGCCTATGCCACATATCATATTTGTAAAACTGTAAAAAGGACAAAGGTATCATGACAAAGGACAGGGGTATCATGACAAATTTTCTTCCATATGGAATCATCGCATTGATTGGAGGTGGAAAATAGTAATTTATCACGAACCAGAACCGAGATATTCCATTCATCAGCTAGTTGCTTCATAAGGTATCCAAGAGACACCATTAACGAGCGTCCTGGAATTAAACAAAAAAAAGGAAAAAAAACGGGAGAGTTAAACTTTTATATTCTTTGCCACATCAGATAAAAAACCAGGGAAAAAGTTAGCTACGTTCACTCAGAATTTAGCCGAGCGGCAGACCCAACGTGATTGTCATTCTATGATTTTGAAGTTAGTGGGATTTGTCAGGACCCCACGCAGGTTGAAAGGGGAGTAAGAATGTAAAGCATGTTGCGAATTGTCGTACAATGAAAACGCAAGCCTAAATAGAATATAATAGACAACCAAGAACAAAAAGTTATGCTGACGCAATCACTTAAATAATAACCCCAAGGAAATCAGCACGATAGATACAAAGTTTCTTGCCCTTCAAATTTTGTACTCCGCTAGAGAACAAAAAACAGTAGAACTTTGAAGTCTCAATGAGCTTTGAATACGTGTCCTTCTATTTCACTCATGAGAAAACTGCTACTGGCTAACATTGGTTCATACCATATCCAAATATCGGTATTTAAACCAGCATAAATTATGACATATCAATGCTAGAAAGTTTCACTTTGCACAATCTCGTACTGTGAACTAGAGATATAATCAAGCCGAGTATATCATAAGTTGGGCTTGGCTAGTGAGTTGTTCATGATCAGCTCAAGCTTGCCCGAGCATTCACATGTCTGTTCAAGATGTCATGTTTATATTTTAATAATTGAACTTAATTTTTACTTAATTTATTTATGTCGATTGAACGAGTATTTAAACAAGTTAATAAACAAAAAAAAAATTCAAACGAATATTTAAGTTTTCATATAAAATTTTCAATAATTGATTTTACAATTCTAAATAAATAAGCAACTAAATAAATTTTAATTAATATCTAATTATTTTATATAAAATAAATTATATATATATATATATATAAAGTATCCATTTATAGGTCATATAGTTTAAATTATTTTTGCAATATATATATCTATATATATAT